GAACCAGATACTCCAGATTAGCTATTTCAAACATCACTTAACCATTGTATACCAAATATTTTTTATAATGCAAAACTACAATATGCAGAACATATCTTTGGATTCTAAAAAAAATTACAGCAACATAATAAAAATTATAATAAAAAGGAAATAATTACTTTCCTAAATAGAGAAAAATATGATTTTACAGCACTGTTTCTGATTTCATCAGCAGATAGCAGTCTGTTTAAAGCCAAGCAGTCAAAAATAATATAATTAATATATTATGCCCAAGTTAATTTTCTTAGAAATGCATTTCCATAACATAATTTAATCAACCAATGACCTCAATAGTCATGTATATTATTCTAATCTTTTTCATATTGTTTCAACTCATATATTTATGTCATAGAATAGAAATAAACATGACATCTTGAATATACACTGCTCAAAAAAATAAAAGGAACACAAAAATAAGACATCCTAGATCTGAATGAATGAAATATTCTTATTAAATACTTCGTTCATTACAGAGTTGAATGTGCTGACAACAAAATCACACAAAAATTATCAATGGAAATCAAATTTAGCAACCCATGGAGGTCTGGATTTGGAGTGACACTCAAAATTAAAGTGGAAAAAAACACTACAGGCTGATCCAACTTTGATGTAATGTCCTTAAAACAAGTCAAAATGAGGCTCAGTAGTGTGTGTGGCTTCCACGTGCCTGTATGACCTCCCTACAATGCCTGGGCAAGCTCCTGATGAGGTGGCGGATGGTCTCCTGAGGGATCTCCTCCCACACCTAGACTAAAGCATCCCCCAACTCCTGGACTCTGTGGTGCAACGTGGCCTTGGTGGATGGAGTGAGACATGATGTCCCAGATGTGCTCAATTGGATTCAGGTCTGGGGAACAGGCGGGCCAGTCCATAGCATCAATGCCTTCATCTTGCAGGAACTGCTGACACACTCCAGCCACATGAGGTCTAGCATTGTCTTGCATTAGGAGGAACCCACGGCCAACCACACCAGCATATGGTCTCCCAAGGCGTCTGAGGATCTCATCTCAGTACCTAATGGCAGGCAGGCCACCTCTGGCGAGCACATGGAGGGCTGTGAAGCCCCCTAAAGAAATGCCACCCCACACCATTACTGACCCACTGCCAAACCGGTCATGCTGGAGGATGTTGCAGGCAGCAGAATGTTCTCCACGGCATCTCCAGACCCTGTCCTGTCTGTCACATGTGCTCAGTGTGAACCTGCTTTCATCTGTGAAGAGCACAGGGCGCCAGTGGCAAATTTGCCAATCTTGGTGTTCTCTGGCAAATGCCAAACGTCCTGCACGGTGAGCACGGTAACCACAACCCCCACCTGTGGACGTCAGGCCCTCATACCACCCTCATGGAGTCTGTTTCTGACCATTTGAGCAGCCACATGCACATTTGTGGCCCACTGGAGGTCATTTTGCAGGGCTCTGGTAGGGCTCCTCCTGTCCCTCCTTGCACAAAGGCGGAGGTAGAGGTCCAGATGCTGGGTTGTTGCCCTCCTACATGTCTCCTGATGTACTGGCCTGTCTCCTGGTAGCGCTTCCATGTTCTGGACACTATGCTGACAGACACAGCAAACCTTCTTGGCACAGCTCACATTGATGTGCCATCCTGGATGAGCTGCACTACCCGAGCCACTTGTGTGGGTTGTAGACTCCCTCTCATGCTACCACTAGAGTGAAAGCACCGCCAGCATTCAAAAGTGACCAAAGCATCAGCCAGAAAGCATAGGAACTGAGAAGTGGTCTGTGGTCACCACCTGCAGAACCACTCCTTTACTGGGGATGTCTTGCTTAACTGCCTATGCTTTCTATCTGTTGTCCATTCCATTTGCAACAGCATGTGAAATTGATTGTCAATCAGTGTTGCTACCTAAGTGGACAGTTTGATTTCACAGAAGTGTGATTGACTTGGAGTTACATTGTGTTGTTTAAGTGTTCCCTTTATTTTTTTGAGCAGTGTATCTAACTGGAAGCAACTTCTTTAGAGTAACTATATTCAAAACCAATTAGATTTCTTAATCTTTTCTTAATTAACCAATCAAGCAATAAAAAGAGCCAATACAATTCATGATATTACCAAAACAGATACTTACAGCCATAATTAGCTCAAAGGGGTGTTTATACACCCTCACGGGAGACTGGTATTTCTGCACCATGGTTACGAATAATTTGTATTATACAGATCTAAAAATAAAAGAAAACAATTATAGGTATATTGCAGCTGAAACTATACTCACCGAGACTTTGTAGATCATGTAGTTAGCACCCCAGTTTCTTACTTGACTGATCTAAGCAAACAGATCTTAAAAACTGTAAATAAAAATTCACTATATTTTATTTGCAGTAGCATTCCATTTTGTTGAAACATCTCAGGTGTTTAGAGACACCATCCATGTTTCCACCATTATTTAGGTAGAAGAGATATAGAAGAGATACAGTAGTTATTCTATTTTAAATATTTAAAACGTGGAAGATTCTTACTATATATGTGTGCATGCATGTACATATAAAATTACTAGAAGACGTTTAATGCCATATTTATACTCAAAATCAATACAATTGGAGTTTCATGCTACTAATATAAATATATTTAAGTACAAATGACTGTAAGATAGAAATTCTTAAAAAGGTGAGCTTCAGATACTTGCAAACAGCCATTTTATCTTTCTTCTATGCATACCCAAACCAGCCAAGACACTACCCTGGAACAACAGTTTTTATGTTTTCTGCGCTATTAATTAAGCATGATTGTTTTGCAGCTTTTTTATTTATGGTTTTAGAACATTTAAGTAACTTTGTAACTTTGTAATGAGATTATTTGGATTACTTAGAAATAGAGAGAATTACCAGTTTCCCAATTTATGTAAATGGTAAGCTATAGTGAACTGTAATTTCTTAGCTAGTTTTGCTGCTTGCAATTAAGAGAGAAGGATAATGTTTTGTACAAACAAGGAGAATAGAAATTAGACAGTAAGAGATATAGCCCTCAGTATTTAAGAAGTCTTCCAAACTATGCACTTGAGACTTCTATTTCAAAGAAAACGAGAATTACTCTAAAACAAGCAATGTAATTTTACACTATTGCTAATATAGTCACAGACTCAATTTCACTTGAGAAATAAAATGATTAGGTTTATTTACAAAATCAGAACAAGACTATTACTAAATAAGACAGGAGAGGGGATATTTAAGACTGTTCTTACTCTCTAATGTTTGTCAAAAAATTTAAAGTGATTCTGACCAATATACTTATATAAGCCCTTGAAATTCTGAGTACAAGTTTGAAGATATTACCAAAAAAGATATATAAAGTGAGCTGTTCTCTAAATCTAATAGCTAATTTTGTGACTTAAACAATATACACTAATTATTAAATTTCTGCTGGGACTCAAGATTGGTAATAATCATTTTAATTAACAAGTTTATTTTAAAGTCATTATTAAAATATAAAAAAACCCATGAGCACAATAAAGAGAATATAACACAATAGCTTTCATCCATACATTTTGTTATGTGTTTCACAGTATTTTCATGGATCCGTTTCTGTGCTGATAAATACACACAGAAAGCTGATACTAAAAATAGCAATCACACAGCACACCATCCTTAAGGAATGTGTAGAACTGAGTTATTACTGCATATTGATATATTGGTTTTTCAGAAATAAAAGCCATAGTTGTTCTTCAAAGAATATATACATCTAACTAACTTCCTACATTAATTCAAAGAGCAAATAAGCATTTTAAAAGCAATAAAAAAATTACAAAAAAAATCAAGGAGAAATTAATAAGGAACACTTTCTGCACCTGTAAGGGGAATTCTCTTTTATCAAATGACTACTTTAAATCCATTGGCAATCTGAAGCTAACGAAGATTTCTACAAACTAAGGAGAACACTGAAGAAAAGTGAGTTCCTTTCAAAGCAAAACCATAATCAATTACTTGCCAGCAAGCCATAAACAAACTATTTATAGTCAGGTATCCAAGCAGAACCATCAGACCAAATCATAAGCCCATTCTTGAAAAGCAACTGTTCTTTCCTCTTCCTGACTATTTATGCAAGACTACAAAATAGCACAAGAGATTATTTATTATCGCTCCTCTATTATTAAAAAGAAAATAAAACATGGAATCTATTTACTATGCATCAACTTGACAAAGATAGATGACAAGTTGAATTTTGAACTGAATACCCAGCCCTCCTCTTCAGTACTGGTGAATACAGTTTAACACGGAAAGGAAGCTAGACATCATGCCAACTTGAGATGCCTGGCTGCAAAAAAGCTACGAATTTCAGGGACCAGATGTAGAAAATGAATGCTAAAGCCAAAGCAAGGAAAACAAGCATACAGAAGAATGGCGAAACAGTTTACAGAGTAAAGTAAAAAGGGGGAATAAAATGAGAATTCTGAGGTAAAGGAAAGGTGTGAAAATACACTGAGTTTTTAGTTATAAGAAGAAGAAAAAAACTAGAAAGGAAAAGAGAGGTGCATTCCAGAGCAAGGGTGAGTAGAGTTCAGGAGGAAAGAAGCCAGAGAATAAGAATGCAGAGGAACTGTCTAAAAAGAGATTGGGACAACCATTTGCCTGAAATGGTATAGGGTTTCCTGCTTGAGCAGGAAGTTAGACTAGAAGACCTCCAAGGTCCCTTCCAACTTTGTTGTACCGTTAAAATGGGACTGACCACCCGCAATATCTGGTAGACCATACATTCCCCATGTTCTATTCTGTTGTTCTGTTGATGCCAATTAGATGGATTTGGTTGGGCAGGAGGGCCAGAACAGATTCAGAGAAGAGAGGCTCCTTCCAGTTTAATGGTGCAAGAGTAATGGAAAAGGGAGAGTCTGCGAAAGGACTCCAAAAGGATGGGAAGGAGTAGATTCGGAGAAGGATGGGGAGGCGGGGCGGGGGGGGGGAAGAACTCAAGACCAAGTGGCTCTAACGCGGAGAAAGGCGCTTGGGCAAATTTAGGGTCGAAGTGGCGAGTTCGATTCCCGCGTGGTGCGGAGTAACCCCGAGTAAAGAGCGAACCGGGACGAGCAAGACGGGTGAGTGGGTAAAGGCTCACCCGGGACTGGAGAGAGAGAGAGAGAGAGAGAGAGAGTGGACACAGCTTCCCAAGGCAAGGTCAGGGCAGGGAAGGCGAGCAAAGACGACAACAGACCACCATCATTCGGGGGGACGCGAAGGAAGAGGGACGGAAGAAAAGCAAGGCAGGAGAAGCGGGAAGTATTCGGGCCCGCTCCCAACCGCCCACAGCCAGCAGGTCCAGACGCGCCAGATGCGAAGTCCTCATTTAAAGCGCAGAAAACGAGGATGGGGAACCAACCTGGGAACCGGAGCCAGGAGGGCACGAGATGGAAGGAAGGAAGGGGGGGGGGGGAAGAAGGTGGGGGGAAGAGCCCGGATGGGGGGGGCGGGTTGTGGAATAGGAAGAAGCCCATCAAGGTGGTGGGCGAAGCGGAAACCCACCTTCTTTATCGCCAAGGCCGGCAGCTCTCCTGCTTCATGTCGGCTCCCCGTCCTTGTGATGCCTCAGGCGATGGAAGGGGCCCCTCCTGAGTGGTGCTGCCCCCCCGCCGGTTCCGGGAAGGCGACAGAGGCGGCGGCGGAGGAAGCCGAGCGACAACGGGCCGGCGGTGTTACCCAGTGGCTAACCAGAGGAGGAGGAGGAGGAGGAGGGGCCCTGTCGCTCGGCCGCTCGTGCGCCCGCGCACTCTGAAGAACTGCTAAGCACGCCGCCCCCCCCACCGCAGGAAGGAGCTCTTTCTGCGCATGCTCCCTGCAAGCCTGCTTCTGCGCACAAGCTTGGAGCGAGGTGTGTGGAATTCAGCCCTTCCCCTATAAGTTTTCTCAATTTTTTTTCCCCCTCTCTCTTTAAAAAAGGATTAGTTTTTCACGTTGGGGTGAAATACTGGTTTATAGGAAGGTTTCACGTGTTCGTTATATTTTTGACAAAGTGAGTGAGAGAGTGACGTGATAGGTTAGGAGCCAACATGGGTTTAGCCCTTTGTGTAGATGAGCGGTTATTTGGATTTTCAGCCCCAGCAAACAAACAAATAACAAGAACAAATGAGTATCTATGCTTACTTAACAACCTTTAATAATAAAGATACACTTTCCAGGAACCCACTGCTTAGTCATTCAATCATCTTCTATGATTCTAAGGGAAAAATAAGTCAACGGAAAAATTATTCCCCTTACGTCTTACATCCTTTTTGTGGAATAGTTCAGTAGCTTACACAGAATATTGCATTTTAGGACTGCATTTTTAGGATGCCTAGAAATAATCAGATGTCGAAGAGGACTTGCATAATTGTAGGCTTTTTAAAGGATAAAGCTCTATGAAAGATAGTTTGTTTGCTGTACTGAATGTTTCTGTACAAAGGAAGAAATAAAGCAATAATTGGAAGTGTTCTGGTTTATACACTAGATTATAGCTGGGTTTAACAGGTATAAATGCAAGATATGTTTGCTCAGGAAAGATACCACCATCTATTTCTCTGAAATAACTTTAGGAACAGCTTGTGGAGACGTTCTGTCCTATACAGATAGTCCTTGGCTTACAAATTAACCATTCATTTAGTGATCATTCAAAGTTACAACGGAACTGAAAAAGTGACTTATGATTGTTTTTCACACTTAATGACATTGTAGTAACCCCCCCCCCATGGTCATGTGATCAAAATTCTGACACTTGTCAACTGGCTCATATTTATGATGGTTTCAGTGTCCTAGGGACATACGATCGCCTTTTGTGATCTGACAAGCAAAGTTAATGGGGAAGCCAAATTCACTTTACAGCTATGTTACTAACTTAACTGTGGTGACTCACTTGAAAAGTATGGCAAGGAAAGCCATAAAATGGGGTAAAACTCACTTAACAACTGCCTTGCTTAGCAACATAAACGTTAAACTTTGCTTGTCAGAAGATCTCAAAAAGGTGATCACATGACCCCAAGACATTATAATCATCATAAATTCATGCCAGTTATCAAGGGTCTGAATTTTGATCATGTGACCACAGGGATGCTGTGATGGTCGCAAATGTTAAATAATTAAATTGGTAAAAGCACTTCCTTTTATACCTTACCATCACATAAAGCAATGCTGCACCATTATGATTAATAAAAGTGGATTTAGTGGGAGGACTGAATAAAAAGAAATTACTCCACCAGTATTGGTCACTAACAAATGGCAATACTGACGTATTGGAACTTCTGATGTATTCAGTAGCATCCGTTCTTCTATTTCAGTTACCATGAAATTGCTGTGAGAAAAGGTTATATTGCTTTTGTTCATGAAATGAAACCCTGCAGTGAATACTCAACAGTGCACTTTAAACAAAGGGTCGTGATTGAATTTTTGACTGCTATAGGTGTGCAATTGAAATTCATTACCGTATGCAGGCGGTTTACAGTATTGATGTGAGGACTATGCCTTTCTGGGCTAAAAAAATGTAAAGATAAACCAGGAAGAATTGATTTGTATGATAAAGAATGAAGTAGACAATCTGTGACTGTAACCAAGGAGCTTCACATGAGGAGGTTGATGAACTGATCAAGAACTATCAGCAGATCACTCAAAGGGAAGTTGCTGTATTTTATAAAAAAACATGACACTTTACAAGAATGTGTGGGTCAGGTTGTTGAATAAAGGAGCTCATTGTAAATTTAAAGACTCAGAAAAGTAAGCTGGAGGAAGAAAATAAAGCAGGGTTGCCAATGATCTACGCTCCTAAACCAACAAAGGCCAAGAGATATTTCATTTGCTATTACATGATGAAACTTTGGTAAGAGACAATGTGAATGGTTGTCAGGACTATTTTTTGCAGGTAGTCCTTGACTTATGACCATTCAGTTAATGACCAAAGTTACGATGCTGGAAAAAAGTGATCTATGACTGGTCTTTGTACTTAATCAGACCATCACTAAAATCATGTGTTCAAATTCGGGCACTTGGCAACTGGCATGTATACTGCATGAATCAAAAAGAGGGCTGTTGAAATATCTACAGACTCCTCATATCCTGGACATAAATTGTTTCAACTTCTACCCTCAAAACGACTATAGGGCACTGCACACCAGAACAACTAGACACAAGGACAGTTTTTTTCCTGAATGCCATCACTCTGCTAACAACTAATGCCCACAACACTGTCAATTTATTTATTAAGACTGTATTAGTATTATTCCTCTACTACTAGATTATAATAATACTTCCTAGTACCTATTTCTTCCCACTTATGCCTATAACCGTGTTGCTTGTATCTTTACAATTTATATTGTTTTATTTGTTTCCTAGTATGATTTGATTGCTTATTAGCAACCGATGACTATCACTAAGTATTGTATCTTATGATTCTTGATGAATGTATTTTTTTTCCTTTATGTACACTGAGAACATATGCAGCAAAGAAAAAATTCCTTGTGTGTCCTGTTACACTTGGCCAATAAAGAATTATGTTCTATTTATGATTTACAATTGTTTCAGCATTGTGAGGTCAGGTTGCCATTTATGTCTTTCCCAGGGGACTTCCAACAATGGGGGGAAACCATATTCACTTAATTACTATGATTCACTTAATGACCATGGAAAAAATTGGTCTTTAACAATGGAAGTTCCAGTCCCAATTATGGTCATGTCAAGGACTCCCTATACTATAAATGCATCTGAAAGCATGTCAAAACTTGGTTGGGCCATTAGGCCTGGGGTCCCAGGGGACTGGCAAATTAAGGTGGTTCCAGTACAGATAGTCCTCGATTAACAACAGTTCACTTACTAACAGTTCAAAGTTACAATCACACTGAAAAAAGTGACTTACCACCATTTTTCACGCTTATGACCTTTGAAGCATCCCCATGGTTCATATTTATGACCGTTTCAGTGTCCCAGGGACATACGATCCTCTTTTACAATCTTCTAACAAGCAAAGTCAATGGTGAAGCAAGATTCACTTAACAACTAAGTTATTAACTTATCAGGTGCAGTGATTCACTTAACAACTATGGCAGGTAAAATGGGACAAAACTCACTTAACAAATGTCTCACTTAACAATAGAAATGTTGGCCTCAATTGTCGTAAGTCAAATGCTACCTGTATTATTAATGTGTTTACACAATATTCCTTTTTAAATCTTGTTTTGAATAATTATAATTGATTAGTATTGATTAATTCACTGTGTTTCACTTTTTTGTATACCATCCAGAAAATGGATGTCTATATAAATTTGACAGATGAATAAATAAATGACAACAGTTCTGGTCACAATAGCATTTAAATGTTTATTAGTAATTAGTAATTACTAAGTGAATGTGACATGTTCAAAAGGCCAGTTTCTGAAGGGAGATACAGACAGGGTCAGAAAACAATATATTTCCAGGTAACATTTTCATAAACTTAAAAGATACTGCATTTATTATCTAGTGTAGATAACTACCATCTGACCCCCATCACCTTTGATTATCAGAGGAACTAAAGAAAAAGCATCGGGAATTAACAAATATTCAAATTTAACATTTCAGTTAGGGAAACTTCCCTGTCTCCCTTAATTAATCCTTTCAAAACTTCACTATTTTGTGAAAACCTGTTTAGTTTAGACCAGGGGTGTCCAACCCTGGCAACTTTAAGACTTGTGGACTTCAACTCCCAGAATTCTGGGAGTTGAAGTCCACAAGTCTTAAAGTTGCCAAGGTTGGACACCCCTAGTTTAGACAGTTACTATGTTACAAAGTTCATGTTGCAAGCCAAGATTCTGATGAAGTTGTCACTCCCTATAAACAGATCACATTTTCTGGAATTGCCGTTTCTTCTCATCAGCAATTTTTGATTGCCAGAGCACTACATTGCATCATTCAGCAGAGAAGCTCTCTCAGACTTGATCTCCTTCAGATTCATTAAGATCTGCATAAACTCCCACTCAAGGGCAATGTTCTCAGAATCACTACTTTGGCCAAGCAAATCCTTAAACCTTACTAAGACCAGCTGAGGAAAATTACAGAGTAGCACTTACTCATTCACTACTTTGCAGAGTCTCCAAACTTTCCATTGCTTCACCCTGGCAAGGCTAGTGAAAGCTGTAGTGGCAGCCCCACAAGAGTACCATCTAATCCTTTCAGCCTTTTACTAAGGATATACAGATTGATACTCTGGGCTTCGTTATTTGTAGTCTCTTCTTAATGGCTTCATGAGTGATGGTATGGATGCAAGGAGACAACAATGACCTCTATCACTTCCAGTCAATATAAACATTGGTATGGTGTTTCTTCTTTGTCCCGTAGCTGTCTTTTCTTCTTCACTAGGAATCCACTCCAGTCTTTCCTCTTTTTTTTTTTCAGACATATTCCATTTCCAGCTTTCCACATCGGAGATCCTTTGCCCTTGCCGTTCTTCCAACTTATCTATTTTATTTCTCTCTATCCAATTCTTCTGTCTCCATTCAAGAGCACAGGATTCAACAGGATGTCTTATTTTTTTCTCTCTCTCTTTAGCTTGCATCCACTCACTTCCTCATTTTATCCTTCTCATGCCTTCATCATGCTGTCAGTTTATTTCTTCTCACATCATCTCTGGTTACTGTTTTCCTAATTGGGCAACATGCAAAGAAATAGGATTACTGATACAAACTTCACTGCCTGGTATGGTAAATTTCTCCCCCCACACTCCCCATGGGTGCTTGTTCTTCATACAAAAATGGAAAAAACTACTTGCACTTTCCTTCTGCACCCCACTGAAATGCACCCCAAAAACCTGCAACAGTATCATGAGGATCAAAATCCTGCAGTAGTATTAAAAAAAAAAACCAATTAAATTTCTTCTAGCAGATAAGCCTTGAAATAGTGAATGTTAATTATCTATTATAATCAAATAAAAAATCAAAATATGGTAAATGCTTTTCTTGAATATTTGGATTCATGTGAGTTATTAAGAAAAATGTGGGATCCACTATGCAAAAGCAGAGATAGATTTGAAAAGAAGACAAATTGGACACCATAAAAGTACTGTGAGAGCTGCTTGATTTCTAAGAAAAATCTGATACGAATGTAATGACGGGTGTTTCCGTATCATCTTATCCGCTTTGCAATATTCAACCTTACCTTTGTAAATAAATACAAATATTGACTTTTTAGGAATGGACCTTCCAAAGGAAGTCATTTGAGATAAAAGCTGGACTATTGACCTTCACTTCTTAGAACAATACGATAAGCCTGACTCCTGGTGGTCTTTTGGGACTTCCAATAAATGGACAAAGGTAGAAATTTGCCGCAATATTTAAATACTGTCATGGATTAATTTTTATTTTAAGTTGCTGCCAATGTCTTTATTATTTAAAAAAGAAAAACAATGCATTGGATCTTGTTCCTTCATGCCAGGATATTTTTAAAAAAAAATTCTTGAAAGGTTTCATTTCAACTAAGATCCCACTAGCACCATCAGAAGTACTTATGTCAGTGACTTGATTGTTTGAGTTGCCATTTTCTCTTTCTTCCTCCAGGGACTCTTTGAGATCGGACAGCTAGAGGGCCCATAACACTCCAAATGTGGGTGGTATCAAAGATTTAAATGGTGCGATGGTGACACTTGTTTATATTTTTAGTCTTTGGTATCACTCTATAACACTGAGTATATTTCTCCCTGCTTTAACATAGTAATCATTTGAATATTCTTTTAAAATAAATAACTGAGAAGTTCAAAACAGAGTATTAGCTCAAAAAATTGACCTTCACTGCATTATTGCCTAAGATGTATGTAGACTAACACTGGTTGTGCCTGCCTGAAAACCAAACATGACTCATGGAAATTTTAGGAAAGAAAGATCATATGATTTGCAATAAGTTTGGTAAGTCACCACTCTCTTCCAAGGCATTTTGTGCCAAGGTTTCTGTATACATACAGAACTAAGTGCCAACATCTATTATCACGAGATCAATGAAGCAAGCTAGAAAGCAAAACAGGAGGTTGGATCTCCTAGCCTATTTTAAGGGAATGACAACCTTTAAAAGCAGATTATCATAGACTTGTGCATAAATTAGACAAAGCATCATCACAGACATTCAATTTTAGGTTGGAACATTGACTGGTATGCTTAAAATTCAGAAATCAAGTCTTGGCAGACAATTTTAAGGCAAGAGGATTAAGTATCAAGCTGGTTCTGTGTATTTTCCATACATGCAATATTATCTTCACAGTCAGCACAACAGTGATGGGAATGAGAAATGAGTCTTCCAGAGAACCCTCCTTTTCATAAGGGTTGTTTTTCACCCATATAAAGGACCTTTTGATTCCAAACCAATATTTTAAGGCATGGTGTTTGTCTGCCCTGTTTCCCATTTATGTAACTGGCAATAGTTGGGGAATTGACAAAGTGGCTATTGCATGTGGTCACTACTTTAAAACGTATCTGCAAGAAAGCAAGCTCAGAGAGCACCACGGACAACCCCGCCCCTTGCTGCAAAATAAATACTGCCCTTTAAACGGACAGGAATTCTTAGAACCTTAGAATGGAAACTGATTTACACCAATCAAACCAGGAGCTCAGCATGGTTTGCTATGTTAACTGGCAATAGCTTGCCAGAATCTGAAGTGTGGGGAGAAGAGTAAGATGCCAAGGATTTCTCCAAGGATTTTCTGCATACTAAGTACGTAATCGATCTCTAAGTTATATTTTCCAACCCATCCCAGTCTCAGTACTGTACTATTTAGTGTTTAGTCTACATAGTCTGAACAATTGTGTGAACCGCACAAGTGGAAAGCATGAGAAGAAAAAAATGGAAGGGATGCGTGTAAATACGCTCACATGAAGTAAGATACTGTAGCTCCAGACAAAGCAAGCATGAAAACAATTGCTTTCTACCTCTCAACCCATCATAATGGAAATCTCTCTGCAGTACTATACAAGACCAGATAACTGGTAAAGTAAAGGGGCAAGGGGAAGAAGAGAGAGGGAGTTGGGGAAGAGAGAGAGAGAAAAAATGAGTAAAACTTCACTCTCTTGTTGTATTTTCTGTATGATGATTACCACTTTAAGAATTTGTTTTTGAAATTCATTAAGGATAGTTATAAAAAAAACACTCTAATGGAAATAAATTAAACAGAATTTTATTCTGAATCTTGTTCTAAGTCTGAAAAGCTTAGATGGAAAAATACTATGAAGGAGAATAAGAGCATTTGGACTGAAGAGTTCCAACAATGGATTTCTGTGTTCCTTTCTTAATAGCCTTGCTTTCTCAGTTGCTAGCTAAACAAGCTGCTACAATAAAACATCTGTGGCTCCATGGAAAACAATGACCCAGGCAAGTTTCTTCAAGTCATGGATGTTTCCAAAACTGGGGGAAGGAAGGAAAATAAGCCAACTTCATACTGATGTTCATTACTTGATCTCAATTCTGGATGGGCCTTTCTCCAACTGCAGCTAAACACAATATCAAGATATCCTGGCATCTTCTTTTTCCACTATAACTGGTGCAACCTTCATCTCATCCATAGACCATGAGTAAGACTGGGCATTAAGTCACCCTTAGCTATATTGATGTTGAAGTATTATTTCCTCACTTATTCTGACACCATCCAAGGGAAGCCCTGAATTGTACAAAGTCCCAATAAGACCAGCCTGGCAGCAGCTGGAAACAGACTGTAGAAGCAGGGAAGGGATCAGCGATGGAAGCAGCCAATGTTATGCTGATATATTTTCCTGATAATTCCTCGATGGAGGAGTACTTTGAATTAACATTAGTAAAAGACCCAACAACAAACCCCAGATCCAACAGCGCATGCACCTTGCATGAGCAAAAAGGCAGTGTTGCTTGCACTGCAACACTGCAACCACCATCTTATCTTTTTTTTAGATTTTTTTTAATCCCACCTTTATTATTTGTGTAAATAACTCAAGGCAGCAAACACACACAAAATTCTTTCCTCCTTTTATTTTCCCCACAACAGTAACCCTGTGATGTGAGTTGACCCGAGAGAGTGAGAAGCCCAAAGTCACCAGCCTGGTGCTTTAACCACTAGACTGAACTGACCAAACCCTGTTCCTTGAGGTGCTGTTGCCTGGATCTGGAATTTGATGGATACCAGTGTCAAAATCACCAATATTTCCAGCCCCTGGTTAAAATGATTTTTTATTTAAAATAAACATTCTCTAGAAGATCTGCATCAACAATAATAGCAATAGCACTTAGACTTGTATACTGCTTCCCAGTATGTTGCAGCCCTCTCTAAACGGTCTCTAGGCAAATTGCCCCCAATCTGGGTCCTCATTTTACCCATCTTGGAAGCATGGAAGGCTGAGACTTCTTTGAGCCAACCAGCATCAAATTGCTGGCAGTCATGAAGCAACACCAGAGGCGATCACTTGAATAGCTGAAATGGACATCCAGCTATGAGGCTACTATCAAATCCCTGTAGAATTTTTGTATATAATTATGTGGATTGTGTGTATTTGATTACTTCTGTCATGTTCTCAAAATACTCTAAATAATGTGTGTGAGTGTGTATGTGTGTGTGTGTATGCATTTTTGAATAATTGCAGTAATAGACCGAGTTTGTTTTTGCAATATTATTCAGCTTCTGTAACCATGGAGAAAGCACCGTCAGCAACACACCTCCCTCGCTTCACCTCTGAAACCTCACAGGACTCATAGTTTCCACAGGATGGAAACTATGTGTACAGTGTACAAGCCCAAAAGTTGATATTCCTGAGAGATGCAGCTGGGAGTCTCACAAAACTTAAATAAATGCCCTGCCCGATAGCACATTCCAAAAATTTTCTATGCTCCGAGGAAATCTAAAGGTTAACGCATTTCCAGCAAGCCTACAGCAAACAGTGTAGCAATCATTGGAGTGGGTGAAGGATATTAAAATAAATCGTTTTATGTAAAAAGAAAATCCTAAAATACATACCAACTGAAGGCAGATTATGAGAAATTAAAAGACAAAAGCACTATGTAAATTGCAATTAAAATGATAGCCAAAAAAAAAAAAACAACCCAGCAGCAGAGAATATCAGTTAATCTTAACAAAAACTGAGAGGAAGATTTTGTTGTCTGAGAAAAAAGAAAACAGATGCACAACTGCACTTCAGGGTCGGGGAGCTAAAATGATGGAAATGTTTATTTTTGTATTTCTATGCATCAGTCTTTTTAGGGCTGGGGTTGGGATTAGGTGTGAGAGCAGGTCTCAAAGTTGGAATAATATTCGCAAATAACATATTCCTCCAGGCTCTCTCAGAGATTTGAAAAGACTGGGGATATTCCCAAGATTTTGAGATTCTTAATCATTTAAAAAATAAAATGAAAGCATGCATTTGAATGCCTCTTCTCCCAAATAGGTCTCCTACCTCCTCGCAGCCCGCCTTTAGTCCCTTCATATAGGAAGAGAGGAACTAAGTAAAACAAATCTACTGCATGTCGGATATTCATTCCTAATCTAACCTTGTAACAACAAATGTTTCCAGTCAGACCCTCAGGAAACTATGATGGAATATGGTAGGTATTGGAAGATCTTGACTTGCAATGTTTCTTCTCCAAGTTAGCCAAATAGCTTTCAAGATTACTTGCCATGGAAATTATGTTGAAGCAGCTATAGAATTCCCTATGTAATTAAGCCAACAACAGGAGATATTACAAGGTTTGGGACTGAGTTAGTATCATGGTGGGATTCTACCAGTTTGCACCTATTCGCTAGAACCGGTTGTTAACATTCTACATAGTTTGGAGAACCAGTTGTTAGAAAAATTACTGGCCTAATCCTGTAAGGAAGGCAGGAAGGAAACATTCTGGCGTTGCTTACAGAAACTGCCTCTCCATTAATCCTTATTACAATCTTGGCAGGACTAGACTTCTTGTCTCAGGAACTTCTCTGAAGTTTTTTTCCCCTTCTTTGCTGGTACTTTGCTTGTGTGGAGTGACCATTCAAAGTTACAATGGCACTGAAAAAAGTGATTTATGACCATTTTTCACACTTACGACTGTTACAGCATCCCCACAGTCATGAGAGGCCTTTCGAGGAGATGCGTGCCTCGATGTGAGTGATATTGAGTTGGCCACACCCAGTCAGTCACATGACCACCAAGCCACGCCCACCACAGAACCGATTGTTAAAAAATGTTAATCCCACCCCTGGTTAGTATATACTAGTCACAGCCAGTTAAAAAATTGCCAATGAGGCAAATGCATTTGAATCCGGAAACTGTGATGGATTAAAGGAGATTTCAAAACCCTGAAACTGAGACAAGCTATATATTAGAGGTTATGGTGTATGGTTAATATTGAACTCTATCAATTGACCATCTACCAGTTCGCTGATTAATCTATTGTTTGAACTTTAATGTTTTTACAGCCCTAAAAATAGTGCTCTATGGGCAGAAGAGGGGATACAAACTTTAAAAATAAATAACAAAATAATTGAACTTATGAAAACAAATTATGTTCCTAAGTAGCTTTTTTTGAGAACATGAAAGGAATCAAAACCTGTCTTCAAGGGGAATTCTTTTCTTCTTGTTTTCTTGCTCTGACCTTTGATTTGCAGCTGGAGTAACAGAGTTGCAGATTTACAGAATGTAAAAACCATTTGTCATAATGGAAACTCTCTTTATGAGAGAAAAAAACCCAAATTACTTCCTGTCTCTGAAAAATCTAGCACTATTTTTTTTTTATTTGTCAATTGTTTACGAGATAAGTAAAAGTGTATACATAATTATGAATACATGAAATGAGTACATATAAGAAAAATAAAAGAAAAATAAAAGAAACAATAGGACAGGGACGGTAGGCACGTTGGTGCACTTATGCACGCCCCCTACAGACCTCTTAGGAAAGGGGTGAGGTCAATAGTAGACAGTCTAAGGTTAAAGTTTTTGGGGTTTGGGGAAGAAACTACAGAGTCGGGTAGAGTATTCCAGACATTGACCACTCTGTTGCTGAAGTCGTATTTCCTGCAATCAAGCTTGGTGCGGTTAACCTTGAGTTTGTATCTGTTGTGTGCTCTTGTGTTGTTATGGTTGAAGCTGAAGTATTCATTGACAGGTAGGACATTGCAATGTATGATTTTATATACCATGCTTAAATCAGACCGAAGACGGCGTAATTCAAGGTTTTCTAGTTCTAGAATTTCAAGTCTGGTGGCATAAGGTATTCTACAACGAGTAGAGGAGTGGAGAACTCTTCTTGTGAAATATTTCTGGACTTTCTCAATTGTGCTAATATCAGATACGTAATGTGGGTTCCAGACTGATGAGCTGTATTCGAGTATTGGTCTAGCAAATGTTTTGTATGCTCTAGTTAGTAGTGTGATATTACCAGAGAAAAAGCTACGTAAGATCAGGTTAACAACTCTTAATGCTTTTTTGGCTATGTAGTTGCAGTGGGCACTAGCACTTAGATCATTAGAGGTGAGTATTCCAAGGTCCTTTACAGAGCTTGGATCATCAACAAGATCTTGACTATTCAGCTTGTATTTTATTTTCGGATTTTTTTTGCCAATATGTAAGACAGAGCATTTATTTGTTGAGATTTGAAGTTGCCATTTGTTTGACCATTCTGATACACAGTCAAGATCTTTTTGAAGGGTAGCAGTATTGTCTGTGGTATTGAACAGCTTTACATCATCAGCGAAAAGAACGCAGTTGCTCTTAATATGATCACAGAGGTCATTTATGTAGAGTATGAAGAGAGTTGGTCCTAGAACACTGCCTTGGGGGACACCACTATTGACAGGTACAGAATTTGATAGGACACTCCCAATTTTGACCATTTGTTGTCTGTTTGACAGGAATGCTTCTATCCAGTTATGTAGATGTCCAGAGATACCATAGGATTTTATTTTTAGTAGTAGTTTGTCATGTACCACTGAATCAAAGGCTTTACAGAAGTCTATGTAGATTGCATCTATTGTTTTGCCCTGATCAAGTTGTGTAGTCCATATGTTTTTGCAGTGTAAGAGTTGCAGATTACAGGATAGTTTTTTTCTGAAACCAAATTGTTTATTGGAGAGTAGGTTGTTTGTCTCTAAGTGGAGGATGATGGATTGGTTAATAATTGATTCCATGACTTTACAGGTGACGCAGCATAAGGAGATTGGTCTGTAATTTTCAACTAGGCAAGGGTCTCCCTTTTTGAAGATGGGGATGACTGTGGCTTGTGACCATAGGTTAGGCAAGGAACTGGTCCTGAAAGATTTTTCAAAGATTATGCTTAGAGGTTTGGCTATGGCAGTGGATAACTTTTTTAAGAAATAGGCACATATTCCATCCGGTCCAATAGATAGGGATGGTTTTAGATTGCGTAGTGCTTTTTCAACATTGTCTTCTGTAAAATCGATATGTATTAGATCACTGTAGTTATCTGTGGTTCAGCTAGGAAATGCTGGGCATGATCCATTGCTGTTTACAAATACTGAGCCAAAAAATGTGTTAAAGATATTGGCTTTAATGGTGTCGTCGTTGCAGTCTTTACCATTAGGTCCTATCAGGGGTGGGATGGACCTTGAATCTTTTAGTTTGTTGTTTACAAAATTGTAAAAAGCATTGGTGGAATTGGTGCTTAGAAGGTTTTCCTCTTGTTTAATGTGATAATTGGTGCATTCGGTCTTTATTTGGTGGCATAAATTTTTGTATCGGCTTTTGAAATTGGCAACGTGACCAGATTTGTTTTTCCGCCAGAGTGATCTCTTTTTGGATTGAAGTTTCCTTATTGTTATGGGCAATCTGTTTTTTTGTTTTGTTTTGGGAGTAGTTGTTGGTACATATAGTTTGATGACTCTTTTGACTTCAAGTAAAAATATGTTGTAATGGTCTTCAACAGTATTGCATCCAGTGAATAGAGATTGCCAATCAAGGGATGAGAGATCGTTGTTTATAAGATCATAGTTGCCTTTTTTGAAATTATAATTGGGGATCACATCATTGTGGTGGTTTTTGTGTGGACGTATGTTGAGACAAAAGTCAATCATATTGTGGTCACTGCTGGAAAAGGGTTCTTTAGTTTGTATTCCGTAAATTAAATTCAAACTATTGCAGAAGATGAGATCGAGGCAGTTGTTTAGTCTAGTGTTGTTGGATACTAGTTGTTCCAGTCCCAGATTTGTAACAGCATTGTAAAAGCTTGCATGTATGGTTTCAGTTGTACATTCATTTA